CCATGTAGTCAGTCTTGTCAACTGCGCCCGTTTGGGAGCGCGGTCAGGGCAGAGCGGGCGAAGGCACACACGGCCTCTCCTCGCTCCCTCCACAGCCCAGACCCCCAGGGGCTACCTGTGCTCTGCCCCTCCCCACAGCCCAGCCATGGCGGCCGCCTCCCCTCTGGGGCTGGTGCCCACCCTCACTCACTCTTGACGCCTTTCCGGTATGTGTGCTGGATGTACTTCATGCCAGACACGATCTCGCGGTTCACCTGCAGGGAGGGATCCAAGTGGGGCTCAGCCGGGCTCTCCAGCCCCAGCCCGGCCCGGTCCCTGCGGAGCCTCCGCCTTACCCGGAAAGAGATCTTTATCCGATATTCCACACCCTCCTTCAGCACAAAGGACTGCTTCTTGAAGCTCTCCAGGTCACCTGTTTGGGAGGACATTGCTCTAGGAGGCTCAGCTAGGGGCAGCCACTGCCCTCAGCCCCTCCCATCTGCGACTGCCCCGCCCACTCCCCCAGAGGGACCCAGGCCCCTCAAAGCCAAAGCCTTCAAAGACCACTTGGCCGCACTTCCTGTGTTCCCCACCAGAGGGCGCCAGGTCCCCAGAAAACATTGAAAGGAGGCACCCTGGGCCAGGAGCCCGAGGTCCCACCCACCTGTCAGGTCCAGCTCCAAGGGGCCTGGGGCCGTGCTGCACACCAGGGTCAGGCGGGTCACCACGACGTTGGGAACGTTGGGGTCTGCGGACACGGCCACGCGGCCCAGCAGGGCCTCCTTGTACTTGCGCAGGCTCTCGTCGTCCTTGTCCAGCTCCTGGATCTCCTGGATGCTCTTCTGGGCCGGGGGCTTGTAGTTGACGGAGTGCTCGTCCTCCTCGTTCTCGGCCGCAATCTGCGCCCAGCTGCTCCGCGGTGGGCTCCTGCTCGGCCATGCTCACCTCTAGCTGGATTCTCGGACACCTGTGGACGGGGCACTGCGGCAGCCTGCAGGCACTCACCACGCCCCCTTCTGCCCCTCGGCAGGCCCCGTAGCCAACAAGGGTGGGCTCTGCAGGCCAGGCCCCCACCTGTGCCCGAGGGGAAGGGGCAACTTCTGGAGCAGGAGGGCAGCTGCAGCCAGAGCTTGTCAAAGGGCCCAACACAGGCTCCCGAGGCCCAGAGGGGACACTCTGAGGGGGCCCCACCCCAGGTGGGCCACCCTGGACTAAACGGGACCGGCCGCCTGCTCCCCGCCCGCCGGGACCAGCAGCAAGAACTCCAGTTCCACGGCCAGGCCCCGGAGAGTCACCTCAAGTCCTGCTGCTCTTTCTAAGCTGCCCAGGCCCTCACCCCAAGGGACCCCTCCTGCTGGTTTGGGAGCTTCCCGGGACCAGGAATGCCCCTTGGGCCCCGTCCTAGCCCGGAGCAAGGCCGCTGTGCAAGACGCAGGCAACAGGGCCAGGTGAGCCCCACAGGTTGGTCTCTAAGGGGCAGAGGAGCCCCAGGTGTCTGCCCCGGCTCTCCCGTGGGCGGGGTTGCGACCTGGAGCTGGGACCGCGCTGCAGCAGGAGCAGTGCGTGAGGCTGGGGCCCCTCCGCCCTTCCCATCACCCGTGGGCATCGGGAAAGCCCTGAGCCCCGGGGCCCCGCCCGGGTGCCAGGGAAGGTAACCGA